TGAGGGGTGAGTGTGTGAGGGTGGCAGGGGTGAGGGGTGAGGGCGGCAGGGCTGAGGGCCGAGGGGTGAGAGTGTGAGAGGTGAGGGCTGCACGTGAGAAGAGGGAGGGTGTGTGGGGTGAGAACTGTGGGTGGGCGGCGGTAACAAGGCCCAGAACAAGCCAGCAGACGGGGTGGCCGAGGGCCCGGAACTCACACTTTCTTCTGCAGGTCTGACAGGTAGGACTCTGTGTCTGCTTCCAGGATGTCTGCATCCAGGCCGGCCAGGTACCGATACAGGTAGGAGAAGGTCGTGAAGGGGATTCGTGCAGGGCCGCCCTCGGGCTCAGTGGAGAGGATCTCACAGATGTTCTTCATGGCTGATTCCAGGGACTGGAACACATGCATGGCTGTGGGTCACTGACCAGGACACTGACCACAGAGAACAGTGGACCCCGGGGGGCTGACCACACAGCACAGAGGGAATTCTGACATCTGTCTTCACTGTCTCTCCCCCCACCATGGGGCCAGAGGGTAGAGTGACAGCAGAGTACATGTGATGACGTTTCTGCCTCCCCTCCACAGGGCCAGGGCGTAGGGGATGGCGGTGTCCCCTCTATGTCCACCCCACAGGACCAGGGCATAGGGGATGGTGGTGTCCCCTCTATGTCCACCCCACAAGGACTGCAGTGTCCCGTCTATGTCCACCCCACAGGGACTGCAGTGTCTCCTCTATGTCCACCCCACAGGACCAGGGCATAGGGGATGGCAGTGTCGAGGATTGGGGTTGGGGGACAGCAGTCTCCGTGCTATGTCCACCCCACAGGGACGGCAGTGTTCCCTGTACGTCCACCCCCAGGACCGGCACGGGGGTAGGGAAGACAGTCTTCTCCCCAAGATGCGACCCCCAACAGACGCAGGGAGGGAGCAGCCGTCCATAAGGACGTGTTCCTAAGCCCTCTGACCATCCTGACAACCCTCTCCCTGGACAGCTGTCCTGCTGGTGACGGCAAAGCTGGGATCGACCTCCGGTCAGTCAGAAGAGCTGTGTCCAGGTCCAGACGCCAGGGTTTGTGGAGTGAGGACCAGCTGCCGTCCACCATCACGCAGAATAAAGACAGGCAGGCAGGCTGCTTCCAGAAACATCCACAGCCTTGGAAACCCAGTGTGCACAGTCCTACACGGCCGCTGTGAGCTGGAATTGACTCCGGGCTGGACCAGGGCGCCCACTGGACCTGCACAGAAGCCAGCGGAGACCTCCTCCGCCAGGTGGAGACCACCAGGAGCACCAATATCACAGGAGGACGGAGAGGCTGAGGCCTGGGCCACCAAAGCAGAGCTGGCTGTGCGCAGGGCAGGGAGGCACCTGAGGGGCAGGGAGAGGGCACGGAGCTGGCCGCCGGGCGTGGGGTGCGGGTGGGAACACAGCACATGCTCCGAAGGGGTGCGCACAGGACCATCATCTGACCTGCTACCCACATTCTCACAGGCTCTTCTGAGCAAAATGCTTGTCTGTCAAACCAACGGACATAATTCAACAAACAGACGCTGCCCTGAAAGTGCTCACCAGACTGTGCCAAGAAATGTGGAGGGCATCCACCTGGCCAACTGACTAAAGGAGCCACATTTGTTCCTATTCCCAAAAAAGGTGACCTGACAGTGTGGAAATGATCAAACATACCACAGGCAAGCAATATCCTGCTGAAAATTCTCCAATAACGACTGGAGCAGCACCTCAACAGAGAACTGTCAGATGTGCAGGCTGGGTTTAGAAGAGGCCGTGGCACTAGGGATATTGTAGCTAATGTCTGACAGATGTTGGCTGAAAGCAGAGAGTACCAGAGGCATGTCTACCTGTGTTTCATTGATTATGCAGACATTGGACTGTGTGGATTACAACAAACTGTGGCTGACTCTGAGAAGAATGGGAATCCCAGAACACTTGACTGTGTTTATGCAAAACCTGTACTTGGACCAGGAGCCAGTCATCAGAACAGAGCAAGGAGACGTTGCATCAGGAACGGTATATGCCAGGGATGCATCCCATTTCCATACCGTTTTGGCACAGACTACCTGTGAGGCTGGACTCTATGTGCATCAGGATTGGAGGAAGACTCATCAACAGCCTGTGATACACAGATGACAAAACCTTGCCTGCCGAAACGGAGGAGGATGTGAGGCATTGGCTGTGGAGGGTCAAGGACTGCAGCCTTCAGTATGGGCTAAAATTCCACATCAAGGAAACAACGGTGAAGGGACTGAGATTGTTAACAACTTTAGCTGGCTTAGCTCCACAATCAACACTGGCGGAACCAGAATCCAGGAAATGAAAAGACACATCGCACTGGGAAAATCTGCTGTCAGGGACTTCTCCAGAGTACTGAAAACCAACGATGTCAGCCTAGAGACTAAGGTGCACCTGATCTAGGGCACGTTCTTTGCAATTACTGGTTATGCATCAGAGAGCTGGACAGTGAGTGACCAAGGGTGAGAGAGGGGGAACTGATGCCTTAGACTTGTGCTGCGGAAGAGTATGGAACAAGCAGGAGCTGCTGAGAGAACAAACAGGTTCATCCTGGAGAAGGTGAAACCAGGCTGCTCCTTGGAGACAAGGTCTCTGAAGCTTCGTCTGACGTACTTTGGGCATGTTGCAAGGAGGGACCAGTCCTTGGAGAGGGACGTCATGCTTGGGAGGGTGGAGGGACAGCGTGGGAGGGGAAGACCCTGGATGAGGTAGACTGACCCAGTGCCTGGGGTAATGAGGGTGGATGTGTCAGCTCAGGACAGAGCAGGGATCAGAGCTGCTGTACATAAAGTCACTAAGAGTTGGTGTCGACGCTGGCACAAAACAACTCTGAGGAGAGTTTACTAGTTTGCAAAAAGATGAGCAGTTTCATGAAATTATCAATGCATTACTTTTATCACTCAAATATAAATTTCAAAGCATCTTTCTACTGTTATATTTTAAATAGAAGAATTCCAAAGTATTTGTTCTGCTGTAAACAGGTAACTCACAGTGATCTATGAGCATCAATATGGACGCCGGCCTTATCCAGCACCCTGTCATCGTCCTGACGTGAGAGTCCACGGTCACAGTCAC